TACGATATTTACTTTTTGATTTGTGTCCTTTAATATATGATTTTTCCATTCTGTCACACCCAATCCCGAAAATGAGTTAGGTGTGAGTGAAAATAACGAGTAACCATACATACAACACATAACAACAAACTAACATCAATTAATCATAGCTAATCAAAACCATTCCCATAAACCAACAATAGGATAATTACATATATACATATCCATAAATTCTCATCATTTAGACACCATGTCTACAAAACTTCCTAACTAGCCACATACACCATGATTCATGACATATCGCACAACAGACTACACAATAGACCTCTTTCTAAGTCAACATATGAAATCAAACAACTGTTGGGAGGTCAGCAAACCACAAGCACAATGAGTATATTCAAGACATATAGAAAGAAAACACATAGCACATAGTAGTTATAAAAATTCTAACAAATTATCATTAAACACTAATATCTGACTATCCATAAATGCTTGAAAATCTTGGTGATAATTCTTGACTACCTATTCTCACTGATAGTTTCAACAATCACTTCGCTACCGTTTATGTTTGGCAGTCTCGGCAGTCTCATCACTAACGTTTATGTCTGGCAGTCTTAGCAGCCAATAATATCAAATTGCACATAACCACCATAAATATCACTTAAGTTCATAACCAATCACAATTTCACAAATTAGTAATCCACTACACCACATTCCAGCTAATACACATAAGTATAAATATTACCCAAACAATCACATTTCCAATCAATATGATTCAATACACTTATCTTGGTTAAATTCAAAACCCAACTTATTTCCCCTATGTAATCTTAGGTGAACTCGAGGTTGACATCTTCATCCCTCCACACCTAACATATGTTGTCACAATACATATAAGTACAATTCACAAACAGATAATATTATGCAACGTATGCATAAATGATTAATTATGTCTAAAATATCACATATCTCATCCCTTACCCAAATATCACTTTTTTAACCACTTAAAATTTACCCTAAAAGTAACTCATTTGGATGTTCCAAGAAGTTTTGGAAGTGAGCGGGTAATGAATTGAAACACCACAACAAAACAAGGAAAAAAAACATTCTTGTATCGATTCTTACTGTGACAGGCCCCCCTTGTACCGGTACAACCACAACCGGTTCTTCATAAAATAGTGACCCAATGTACCATTCATGCCTGGGTTTTCAACACTATCCAACTAAAACTCACACTTGTTGAATTTAGCATACAATTGCTTATCATGCAGGATCAGCAACAAAACACTTAAATGATTTTCATGCTCCTCTACACTTCGAGAATAGATCAAAATATCATTGATAAATACTAAATAAGGCTGGAACACATGATTCATTAAATCCATAAATGTAGTTGGAGCATTAGTCAAACCAAATGGCATAACCAAAAACTCGTAATGGCTATACTTGGTTCGAAAAGCCATCTTAGAAATATTACTTTTTTTCACCTTCAACTAATGATATCCCGACCGAAGATCTATCTTTGAAAACACCTTATCACCTTGTAATTGGCCCAACAAGTCATAGATATGTGGCAAAGGATACTTGTTCCATATGGTCCCTTCATTCAACTATTGGTTGTTAATAGACAACTGCATAGTACCATTTTTATTCTTTACAAATAAGACTGGAGCACCCCATGGAGACACACTAGGCTGAATAAATTTGTGGTCTAGCAATTCCTGTAATTGAATCTTTGATTCTTTCAACTTAGTAGGAGCCATATGGTACGACGGACTTGAAATTGGGCTAGTACCTGGCATTAACTCGGTCATAAACTCAACCTCTCGTTCAACTGGTACACCAAGCAACTCCTTAGGAAACACTTCAACAAATTCACAAACAATAGGTATATTTCCCAACTCAGGACCACCCTTTGAGTATCCTTAACATATTCTAGTATAGCCGCGCTACCCGTTGACAATGTAGGAGCTGCAAGTAGAGGGCAGTCACTCTACAAATGATTCGGATGCGCTCATGTAAAACATCTTTGTGGAACCTCTACTCGCATTGAAGTGCAATACCTAGCATAATGCCCTCCCCTACCTATCTATAATAAACATTCCCCATAGCATGACCACTAGAAGCTCCCTTGCCTTGAGAAAAAGATTGTTGGCCAACAAAACCAAATCGTCTACTTTGCATAACTTGACCCTGACGTCCTTTGGAAGGACTCTTTGATGATGAAGAACTCTTTCCACTTGGACTTGGATATCCACCGCTAAAAGTACTCTATCTTACTAGATCAAATCTAACCCTCTTAGATTGTTCTCCCATTCTCTCTTCCTCTCACCCATCTCTCTCAGCAATCAGTGCCTTATTAAATAAATTAAGGTAAGTTTTCAACTTCATGGTAGAAGTCTAAGAGTGAATGCTAAAGTGCAAACCCATTGGAACTATCTACACTTTTCCTCTTTATTTCCTACTATTAAGGATGGTAGTGAACCGGAAAAAAATAGGTATTCATCCAAACCCGCCCCGTTTGGACCGGGAATGGATTATACATATTGGACGGTGGACATATATGGGGTATGGGGATAACCATATAAACCTGTGCAGGGATGAAAGCGGGGATAGACTTACCCTTACCCTCGCCCCGGCCCCGTTATACCCATTAATATATATATATATATATATATATATATATATATATATATAAACTCCCAACCATAAGGCCCTTTACTCTCTTCTCCCTTAATCAGAGTCGCCCGCCTCTTTTCTCTCTCTCACACACACATAGAGTGACACAGGCCCCTAACTTAGCTCAATCGCTGATTGCTGCACTCAGCTCTCTTTCTCCCTCTACCCTCGCTGATCGCTGAGCTAATTATAGTACATGGGTAAGTTTTCTTTTTTGCCTTTTGTTCTCCTTATTCTGTTTCTAGTTGCCCCTGTAGAATAATCTTAAAGATTTGGCATGCAGTTTTGAGACCACCAACCCACTTAGAATTAGTTTATCAAACTTAGTTCAATGGTCCATGGAAGAGCACAAACCCACTCATTGACATTTTATTATCAATGGCGGTGGAGTGCTTTGGTTTTACTACAATAAAATTTTATCCTTATAACTTTACTGCCGATATGTGGTGGAGTGCCTTTCTATCGAGATTTTACAACTTTTTTACCTTAATATTTTACTAATTTCTAATGAATTTCTCAACTAACATTATTATTATCCTTATAAAAGCATAGTTCAAACAAGTTAAAAGGTATAATAATCAGGAAATGAAGTTGAAAAATGGAGATAGATTGCTAAAAAAACTTCTCTTTGTGGTTGCTAATGAAAAGGTACAAGTCTTATAGGGCATTTTGGATTGTTAGACAGTCTGAGCAGCCCTTCAAACTTGACCATCTCCAACATACATTGGCAACGATGACAATGTATTACATTCTCAAATTAATTGTATCCACAAATCACTTCCTCTTAGCTAGGTGATGACAGTCTCAAGTTTTGCTTGTACTTTTCTCTCCCTTGTATGCTAATTTACTGCTTCACATCTCATAGTTTTTTACTTTAATTAAACTGACCCAAATTTCTTAGCATAAAACCTACGGTAAGATAGATTTCTCAAAGAAGACAAACCATAGATTGGTTATAAGAAAATTTAATGAAATTATAGGCTAGACTATTGTAACTACTTAGTTGTCACCAATGAAATTCCACACTGTTGTGTTATTTGCACAAATTAACCAGTTTAGTCACCATTAGTGGCAGTTTTGTTAGAGTAGATTAGTACCATACCTTTTTTTAGTTAGGTTACGAACAATAATGTAGTTGTATCCATATAGAACTGATATTATTGTGTAACATAGCACTTGATAAGAACGAGGTAATGAAATATTATTTATATGTGCATCATAATTTTTTTTTCGGGGGGGGGGGGGGAAAGGACCCCATT